CATTAGTCCTGCTACTGATTGATGTGTATCCTAGCATGTACTGATGGCTGGACATATAGTTGCTCAATAAATATTTGTTGAACAAATGCATAAACACACTGTTGTTCTTGTTTTTCTACTTTGATCATCTCATTTCTTCTTTTTTTTTTTTTTTTTTTTTTTTTTAGAGACGTAGGGTTTCGCTATGTTCCGCCCCAGGGCTGAGACAGTTGCAGTGGCTATCACAGGCGCGATCCCACTACTGATCAGGCACGGAGTTTTGACCGCTCCCGTTTCCGGGTGGGTCCTGTGTAGGGCCTATGGAGTGTAGGTAACCTGGGTTTGTCCCCCGCTCCCCCCCCCGCTCCCGGGAGGGTCACATATCTGATGCGAACTTAGTGGCGGACCGATCGGCCATAGGCGCACTACAGCCAGAATCTGGGCTCATTATGTCCCATTCGCTTCCCCGAGTAGTGGTATACAGTGGGGGCGGCGTAGGTTGGGGCGGCATTAGCCTTGGGAACCAGAGTGAGATTTGTTCAAAATTATTAAATAAGGTAAGTCCGGTGCTATGTGAGTCTTATTTCTTTTTTTGTTGTAGCGTGCGTTGCACTTTGTTGCCAGGCTAGAGTGAGTTCGTGGTCAGATCTTGGTCTGGCGTCGCAGCGTGTCCATTGACCTAAGTGGGGCTGCTGCAATGGCTTTGTGGCCCTCAGCTCGGAAATAGTGGGTGGCTTATGATTTAGTGCTGGCTGCATGCCAGTAAGAATAGATGAGTGAACCACGTGGGAATGCTAGCGGCCTAGAATGTGTAGTTCCGATCGCCTAAAAGAGTGAGGTTTCAGTTATTCATGATCAAAATGTAGTCTCTGGGTTTTCCAGCGTTGACCAAGGTGGGGTGTTGTTTCTTGATTTATTGGTGATTTACCTTATAACTCAATAAGTATGGAGAAGAAGGATGAATTTCTATTCTCCCTGATCTTGGGTTGTTATTGTAGAGGCGGAATGGCTATTCGGCTTCTTATCTGGTGGTGGGCTGTTTGGTTTTACTCAATGGGTGCCATGTGGTAGATTTGTAGAATAAGGTCTCCGCTTGCTTCACAGTGATAGTTAACGAGAATGTGAGCCCGAGCGGCTATTTGATAATGATTCATTTCGATTTTGTAAGAACTTCTGCTAGGGTGGTGTTCTTTCGATGTTTTTGGAATGTTTATGGTCTATTGAATAGTGGATAGTGATGTGTATTTTTGTGTTGGGCGATTAATTCAATTAAATGAATTTCATTTTTTGATCTGAAGACTTTTGTGATTCATGACTAGGGAAATTTTGTATTGGTTCTAATTCCTTAATGGGCAGTGTCCATATGTTTACTAACTCTAGCATTGGCGCTGGGTGCCATTGGGGGCTACTGTCGGGTCATACAGAACATCTTAGGAGTGTGTCAAGCGTTTGGGTGTGCTTGAGCCAGGTAAGTGGTTCTTGTTAGTGAAGCGATTTTGGATTGACCGTGTCAGGATGTGCGCGTGAAGAGATGAGTGTAAAGAGGGTGAAAAACAAACAAAAAAAATCACAACAGAAAAAAATCAAGGTGATACGATAAGGGAGGATGCAGATAATTGTCATTTTTATTATATAGGACAAGGTTCATTATTGTAAAGTAAAGGAGAAGCCATTTAGCTAGTGTAAAAAGACACCATGAATGCTTTGCATGGGGTATTGGGGTGTGTCCAAATGTGGTGAGTGGGGGCAGTGGTCAGGTCTGCATGGATTGATATCTGCGGTAAGGGAGTTTCCTTTGCTAGTGAGATTTGGGCTCTCATCCGTATATGAATAGTTTTAGTGGTTTTGCTAGGTGTTGAGGGCATAGCAGGTTTGGATAAGATTCGTGTTTTTTTGGGGATAGTATGTTTGAAAGTTTGTCTCAGTCGAAATCCGCTGGCGTGCATTGGGGTTGAGTAGGCTTGTTTTGGGACAGCGAAGCTTGCTCATTGGGTCTAGACAAGAATATAATGATTGGATCAAGAATCTGTAAGTCAGAAAGGGGTGCGAGAAAGGGTGGTTAGTCACGAGATTCCTGCAGGGTATTTTTTTTTATTTTGCTTGTATATAGTCAAGAAAGAAAGATTGCATTCTTTTGGCCAATATATGTGTGATCATGATCTATCGTAGTCAACAAAATTATCCATGCTATATGAATACATGGTTTGTTTATTTTCTTTCCCACTCCTGCCAGTAGAATGGAAGCTCCATGAGGGAGGGGATTTTATTTTGTATGTTGTATCCTCAGCATGTACAGTGATGCCTGGCACATATTAGTTGCTCAATAAATATTTGTTGAACAAGTGCATAAACACACACTGTTCTGTCTCTTGCTTTTTCTACTTTGATCATCTCATTTCTTTTCTTTCTTTCTTTTTTTTTTTTTGAGACAGAGTCTCACTTTGTTGCCCAGGCTAGAGTGAGTTCCGTGGCATCAGCCTAGCTCACAGCAACCTCAAACTCCTGGGCTCAAGCAATCCTTCTGCCTCAGCCTCCCGAATAGCTGGGACTACAGGCATGCGCGACCATGCCCGGCTAATTTTTTCTATATATATTAGTTGGCCAATTAATTTCTTTCTATTTATAGTAGAGACGGGGTCTCGCTCTTGCTCAGGCTGGTTTCGAACTCTGGACCTTGAGCAATCCACCCGCCTCTGCTTCCCAGAGTGCTAGGATTACAGATGTGAGCCACCGAGCCAGGCCTGATCATCTCATTTCAGTACATAAAGAACCTCCTCATATTTTTCATGACTATACAATGTTTCATTGTCTGGATTCATTATGATTTATTTAATCTGGCCCTTATGATGGACATTAGTTTGTTTCTAATCCTTGGCAGTGACCATAATGCTACCATTCATATCCTTGTACAAACATTGTGACACACATGTGTGAGTAAGTGTGTCTATCTGTAAGATTAACTGCTCAATGCAGAATAGCTGAGTCAAAGGGTGAGGTGCGTATTGTCAATTTATTTTAGTCAAAAGCACCATTCCATGTCTACATAGCATTACTGGGGTCTGTGGCAGTTGACTACACCAATTCTAGGGAAATCTATCCTATATGAAATTGTTCTGGTTAGGCCTGAATTGATCACCTCTTATTCTTGCACATCTCAGTAGAAAATCACTACATAGGTTGGAACTGTTGGGACAGCCACAGATGAATCTCAAAAGAATAATGTTGAAAGAAAGAAGTCAGATGCAAAAGAGTGCACTGCACCCCGCAGATTCCATTTATATGCTTGTAAGTCAAGAAAAGACAAGATGCATCTATGGTGACAGAAATCAGCAACAGTGGTTGCCTGGCATTGGGGCACTGACTGGAAAGGGTACCATGGAACTTTCTGGGGAGGAGATGGGAAAGCTTTGTTGCACTTGTAAGAACTCATTAATCTGTATACTCCAATGTGTGTGTATGCATATATATTTATTTTTTATTATTTTTTTTTTTGAGACAAGATCTAGCACTGTCACCCAGAGTACAGTGCAATGGCCTCATCATAGCTCACTCCAACCTCAAACTCCTGGGCTCAAGCGATTCTCCTGCTTCAGCCTCCCAAAGTGTTAGGATTACAAGCATGAGCCACCACACCCGGCATAGACATTTTATTTTATGTAAATTATACACTTCAATTTTTAAAAACTTAAAAGAACTGGGCTGTGGGGTCGTAGCATGTTGCCATCTGTAGGTTGCAGTCACACTGGTCTTTTGTCAGTTTCCCAAACACACTGTGCTTTTTCCCACCCAACAGCTTTTGCACATGCTGTTCCCACTACCTGGGACACTCTTTCTTCCCTTTTACGAGCACACAACCACAGCCATTCACTTGTACACACATGCACACACACTCTCACAAACTATCCTTTTATAATTCACTGTGTGTCAAAATACCTATAGTATGGAAAATACCTGGAATGATGCCCCTAATATTATAACCTGCATGAATTACTTTGCAAAACGCAGGGATGGGAAATTGCACATTTCTCAGTTTTGGAGAGACTCAAACTGAAATGCAACTCATGCAACTCTATCTGTAGCTTCTAGGTGCTGGTGGAGATATAATCTCCTCCCTACCCTCTTGGCCTCCTGAGATTAGAGAAGTATCTGAGCTTCAGAAAGTTCAGAAAAATTGGAGAAGGGCTTTTGGTCTATGTGGTGTTTACTGAGATGCTTGTTGTGCTGTGTGGTTGAGTTCAAGGTAGAAGGCTCAGCCTCACTGTCAAGCTCAACCATGGGAGTGGAGGCAGAAAGAGAAAGAAATGTCTTTTTTTTCCCTCCAAGCTTCTGAGTTTCGCAAACAATTGGAGTAATTAAAAGTTCTCAGAAGTAGCCGATGGTGTGCCCTTTTCACCGAGGGAATGTGGGCCAAGCATGATATATTAAAAGAGAGGGAGCTGCTCTATTGAAGTTAAAAATAATCTGTCACATGGCTAATTTGTTGGAATGCAGCAATAAGGGCTGTGGGCAGAGGGCGAGCTGGAAGCAGCTGGGGAGTTTGCAGGCAGAGTGCACGCCCTGGGGATTGTGTTTGCAGGGAGAGAAAACAGGGTCACAGCTGACTTAGGGCACCTTATCAGAAAAGCCCACAAAAGGGGCAGGAAGAAGGAAAAGTGGGTTCGAGTTCAGAGCATGACCTATGGGCTTATCGGACAGAGAAGGGATGGGTCAGAACTCGTCACCTGTGCTCACGGGATGCTGATTCACTCAGCAAAGATGAAGGCTTTCCAGTCCCCAATGCCTTTGAATCCATTTCAAAGGAATTAATAACCTGAAGGAGCCCTTTGATCCTAAATCCATGGGAAAACCAATCTATAGGATCTTGAGGGGAAAAAAGCTCAGGCCAGGAATACAAATCCTAGTTTGGAGAGTTGGAGACTTTTAACGTTTTTGAAATGTTAAAGTTGAAAAAGAGAGAGAAGTTATTTAGTATAATCCCTGAATTTTCCATGTGCAGCAAAAGGCTCAGAGAAGCTGACTTGCTCAAGGTCACTCAACCACCAAGTGACAGAGCTAGATTCAAACTCAGGTCTTTAGCTAGAGCGGAAGGGCATGGTGGTTGGAAAGCACTAGGTTCAGACTGCCCTGATGTCATATTCTGGCTCCACCGGCTGTAGGACCCTTGGGCAAGTCCCTAACTCCTTTCAGTGTTAGTTTCGCCATCTGTAAAATGGGAATAAATAACAGGCCGGGCATGTGCCTCATGCCTGTAATCCCAGTCCTTTGGGAGGGCAAGGCAGGACGATCACTTGAGGCCAGGAGTTCAAGACCAGCCTGGGCAGCATGACAAAATGTCATTTCTACAGAAAATAAGAAAAATCAGCCAGGCATGGTAGCACATGCCTATAGTCCCAGCTACTTGGAAGGCTGAGGCAGGAGGATCACTTAAGCCCAGGAGTTTAAGGTTGTAGTGAGCTATGATAGTGCCACTGCCCTCCGGCCTGAATGACAGAGTGAGCCTATTTCTCAAAAGAAAGAAACCAAAACCAAAACCTAAAGCACCCCACCAAACCCATAGTATGCACCACCTACTATTGCTATAATGCAAGTAAAGTGCTTAGTACAACTTCCAGCCTAGAGGAAATGCTTAATAAAATGTTAGCTGTTATTACCCCACAGATTTTTCTATATCCCTGTGCATCACATGGCCACAGCTTTTTGCAGATTAATTTTTTAAACATCCTTTTTGGTTTAGGTGGGATTCTCTTTCTACCTTTCCCACCTCCAACTCTCACCCATTATATTGAAATACATTAAACAAAGAGGATAGTTGAACTTTAAGATAACCTCTTGCTGGGCATGGTGGCTCATGCCTGTAATGCAGCACTCTGGGAGGCCGAGGTGGGAGGATCGCTCAAAGTCAGGAGTTCGAAACCAGCCTGAGCAAGAGCGAGACCCTGTCTCTACTAAAAACAGAAAGAAATGAATTGGCCACTACTAAAAATATAGAAAAAATTAGCTGGGCATGGTGGCACATGCCTGTAGTTCCAGCTACTCGGGAGGCTGAGGCAGTAGGATCACTTGAGCCCAGGAGATTGAGGTTGCTGTGAGCTAGGCTGATGCCACGGCACTCACTCTAGCCTGGGCAACAAAGCGAGACTCTGTCTCAAAAAAATAAAAAATAAAAATAAGATAACCTCTCTATCCTTGGGTAGACACTTTCTCTAGCATATCCTACATTCTAATACACCCATGTAACTTGTTTTTTCTGAAGCCACATGCCCTCTGGCCTCCATTTTCAGTATGGTTTCCAAGTTGCTGACAAGCAGAAACTGGTGCCAACGTGAAGAGGCAAGTATTGCTGCCCTGAATGCAGCAGCCAGATCTTCTTGAATCTTCTAGAATACCTGATCAATTTTCAAATTCATAATGGGCACCGCTAATAGAAGAGGCTCTTAACATCCAGCGGGAGTTTGGCCTTATAGTCTGAACATCTCTGGGAAGGGAGGACCAGGTTCTGTGTGTGCACATACACTGCAAAGAATAGAAACCTGCCTCATGCCAGCTTGAGCAAAAAGAAAAAGGTGAATTTAGTGGCTCATGTAACTAGAAAGAAAAGGCAGGCAGACATAAACCGTAAATACCAAAGTCTCTGGCAGTGTCTATGTGCATTTTTCTGGGATGATGGTTTATAGCTTGCTTCACATTCTCAAAGTGTTCTATAATCCAAGAAATAGTAAGAACTTTTGGAGAGGAAAATGCTTCCTTCCACTCCAGATACTTCCTTCAGTGTGGAGGGCCATCAACTAATGTAACTGTGCAGCCCCCTCTTCACCCCTTACCCATTCTACACAGAGAAAAGGGAGAGCACAGGGGAACCTGGGCATGAGTTGCTGTGTCTTCCTTTCTCTGGTCTCTGAGGATCAAGATCACGGAGGGAGTACGAGTTCTTCTCTCCCTCCATTGCGGAGGCCACGCTGGTCCATTGCTGCCTGGGACACAGGGGACAGAGTGTTCAATTAGGCTACAAGGAGGTCAATTCTGCACACACTCAGCCACATTCTCCAACCTGTAGCCTTTATCAGAAGATCATCTATCTTCTGACTCCCCACCCTCTGCCCCAATTGGTTTATAGCCTGAACAGGGAGGAGGCCTGCTATTTATTGAATTCCTTCTGGAAAGTTAACAAGAACCACCAGCTCAGAGCATTAGGGACCCACTGGTTCATCCTGTCACCTCACCCCTTTCTTGCTGGGTCCCCAGTCGCAGAAACAAAGAGATATTGGCCTTGGTGATTCACAGAGAGCATGGAGTGCAAGGAGAAGGCTCACAGGGAAGTCACCAGAAAGGCAAGGACGCTAGATTTACTTCCAACAGCAGGTTAGAGGAACCGGGTTATTTCACACGGAGGGAGGGAAAAAACAACGTGGTGGTGATTTAATAGCGGCCTGAATTCACCAGAACCACGTGCAGGGCAGGGTGTGGCATCCCTGGTATTTTTCCACAGCCTCACCCTGACTGGGACCACGGTGACATCTGTCCCCTACATCTCCCATCCCACTCGCATCCTTCCACGCCCACCTCTTGGAAAAATAAATTGTTTCACTTCCACAGAGAGGTGCATGCAGGAGCGTGGGGCACAACAAACCAACTTAAGCAACACGATGTTTTATTATTAACTCTTTTCAATTACACAAGTAACGTACAATCTTTAGGAGAACTAAAAAGATACAGAAAAGTGTAAAGAAGAATGCTAAAATCAACCCCAGACCCTCAACTCTGAGATAGCTATTGTTAGCATTTGGATTTATTAATGTCTAGCCTTTTTTTCTATACATTTTACAATTCCTTCATTGTTCCTTTAAAAATTTTATAAAAGTAGTTCAAATGATATAGAAATGTATCATGTAGAAGGTGAAAATGTTATAGTCTGTCATTTCTCTTAATATCATGATGTATGTGTACTATTAAATTGAGGTTTGTTTTTGAGACAGAGTCTCACTATGTTGCCCCAGCTAGATTGCCTCATGGCGTCAGCCTAGCTCACAGCAACCTCAAACTCCTGGGCTCAAGCAATCCTTCTGCCTCAGCCTCCCAAGTAACTGGGACTACAGGCATGTGCCACCATATCTGGCTAATTTTTTCTATATATTTTTAGTTGGCCAATTAATTTGTTTCTATATTTTTAGTTAAATTGAGTTTTTTTTTTATTGTAACAACTTCCCTTTCTCTCTCCTGACCTTAGGAATGTTTCTTGGGAGGGGGGCAGGGAGGAGAGGGGAGGAGGGAGGAATGGTTGAAATTAATGGCACTCATTTGAGAAGGTACTGGGATTATGGCACCCACTTAAGAGTTGAGTTACTGAGGCTCCCAGACTTGCCCATAGCCACACCCAACTCCTGCTTGTGTGGCCAGGGTCCCTGGGGACAGGAACAATTTCCTAACTTAATAGACAGCTTTGTTAAGAAAGGGTGGTCAGAGAAGTGGCTTCCATAAGCCAGGACTCTTAGCTTTCCTTTTCTACCAGAAATATCCATCACATCCACCCTTACTCACATTGGCCTCTCCAGTTCCAAGAATTCGAGTCTGGGAATATATAGTTGCAAGTGAGCAAAGAGTCAAGGGAAAGTTCTTTATCAACAGGAGAATTATTTTATTCAATGTGTTTCCTTACATGAGTTGAGACAATACGGGCAAAGAATGAGAAGAAATAAAAGGCCAGTTACATAGGCCATGTTTAATGAATCACCCCCCAATGTCATTACCCATCCTTAGTCAGGAAAAGCTTGAGTTTTCTATGCCAAGAAAAACAGAGGGCAGGAAGAAACAAATTATGACCTTGTTTGTGTTTTGAGTCTTAACTATTTGATTTATAGGCCTTGATCCAGTGATTATGGATGAAAGAAAATATCCCAGTGTCCCAAACCTAACCTGAACTTAACCGGGCGTGGGTCTCACGTCCACTGCTCAAGTTAGCACGAAGTTCAAATGCTTTAAGAATAAAGCACGAATGTTCGGGGCTGCCTGTAGGCATTCTTAACCCAGCGGCCAGACCAAATTCCTTTCCCACACTCCAATTTCAAAAAACTCTGTTTAGAAACTTTGCCCCTTTCCCTTTATTCCACAAGGTGGACATTTATTCAATGGACAGTTGAATCAAGCACCTACTGTGTGCAGAGCACCATGTCGGACACTGGGGGTACAATGATAAGCATACAGATAACTCAGCACATAAACTGGAAAATGTCATGTAGCCATGAGTTGTATGAAGAGAAAAGAAAACAGAATGATGTTAGAGAGAGACTGGGTAGCCAATTAGGACAAAATGCCGAGCCTAGGCCTTAGGGAAAGGATGCATCTGAACTGAAATTAGAATGATAAGATCTATATATGAAGCTGAGGTCTGGGAGACCATTCCGGACATAGGGAATAATCCCCAACACAGGCTCACGCTTGGCATATAGGAATTAAACCATCTCGGCAGGCGTGCTCGCTGGGCAAGGGCCAAGGTGGCTGCCCCTGAGGTCCCAGGGTGCTCACCATTCCTGCTGGCTGGCCCTCGCTAGCTGCTCGGATTTGTTTTATGCACCACCCAGACCTTGTTTCCCGAGTCAGTGGCATCAAGTTTTGAAAGAAATGGAAGAAAAGGAGCAACTGATTTTGTTCAGTTCTCCTGCATTGAGGTTGGCATTTGCAGAGAGGAAAATACTGCAATAAATCTGTGTTTTTTGGGGGGAAAGTGGGGAAAGGGAGACAAGGTCTTACATTTTATAATTTTAAAAAATTCTGCACATTGACAGTGGTGGTGAAATAAACTAATCCAAAAGTTATTTTTCTATTGAGAAAAAGAGAAAAGGGTGGATTTTTTTCCCCTTTTGATTCCAACCTTTTCTCCCAGTGACAAAGCATAAAACATGGATACCAGAGAATGAGGTGGACCTCAGGAATCCTGAAAAGTATGAAAAGCTTACATTCTTCCTCAGGATGGAAGAATGGGGTATTTTTAGCCCTCTCTGGATAAAGCGAAAAACATGAGTTGTGTGCTGTGGAAAGGAGACAAGGCCAAATCTATATCGCTGGAGTGGCCCCAGGCAGCACACCAACAAATCTACCATGAGAAACAAGACAGGGGCCAGGCACAGTGGCTCATGCCTGTAATCCCAGTACTTTGGGAGGCTCAGGTGGGAGGATTGCTTGAGGCCAGGAGTTGGAGGCCAGCCTGAGCAACATAGCAAGACTCCATCTCTACAAAAAATAGAAAAATCAGCCGGGCATGGTGGCATGCACCTGTAGTCCCAGCTACTTGGGAGGCCCAGGCAGGAGCATCACTTGAGCCCAGGAGTTTGGGGTTATAGTGAGCTATGATGGTACCATTGCACTTTAGCCCAGGCAACAGAGTGAGACCCAGTCTCAAAAACAAAAAAACCGGGCCGGGCGCGGTGGCTCACGCCTGTAATCCTAGCTCTCTGGGAGGCCGAGGCGGGCGGATTGCTCGAGGTCAGGAGTTCGAAACCAGCCTGAGCAAGAGCGAGACCCCCGTCTCCACTATAAATAGAAAGAAATTAATTGGCCAACTAATATATACAAAAAATTAGCCGGGCATGGTGGCGCATGCCTGTAGTCCCAGCTACTCGGGAGGCTGAGGCAGAAGGATCGCTTGAGCCCAGGAGTTTGAGGTTGCTGTGAGCCAGGCTGACACCACAGCACTCACTCTAACCTGGGTAACAAAGTGAGACTCTGTCTCAAAAAAAAAAACAAGCGATCCTTCTGCCTCAGCCTCCCGAGTAGCTGGGACTAAGGCATGGGCCACCACACCTGGCTAATTTTTTCTATATATTTTTTAGTTGGCCAGTTAATTTCTATTTTTAGTAGAGATGGGGTCTCGCTCTTGCTCAGGCTTGTTTCGAACTCCTGACCTTGAGCAATCCGCCCACCTTGGCCTCCCAGAGTGCTAGGATTATAGGCCCCATTTCTTCTTGTACATGTGCATAATAATGTAAGATCAAGGTTATTAATTACAGTATTGTAACTGAAAAACACTGGAAACATAATAAATTGAAACTAACCGATGGGCACACATGTGCACAGAGGGAAATAAAAGTCACTGGAAATCAAGCAGGGGGGAGGGGGAAGAAAGGGAGGGGCAAAAACCTACCTAATGGGTACCATAAACACTGGGTGATGGGCACACTTAGAGTCCTAACTCAAGCATTACAAAAGCTATGCATGTAACAAAAACATTTGTACTCCTTAATAGTTTTAAATAAAATTTTTTAAAATTTTCAAAAAAATTTAAAAAGACTAGAAACAACCCAAATCTCCATTAGTAAGAGACCAATTAAATTATGGTATATTCATATCAAACTATGAGTTCTAAACTATGGATAAATGATACTACTGTAAAAATGAGCAAGGAGGCTCTCTATGTAAATATCTAAAGGTGTCATTAAGATATGTCATTAAGTAAAAAAAGCAAGATGTGCAACTGTGCATTTTACCTTTTATATTAAAAGGGGGTAAAATGAGCACATACATTTATATTTACTCACTTTTGCATAAAGAAACTCAGAAAGATACACAAAAAAATTAATAAAAGCAATTATCTGGAGTGGGTGAGTAGAAGGGGATAGAAACTGAGTAGAAAAGGTTGGTAAATAGAATTTTTATTCTACAGCTTTTATTCAATAGCTTTATTTAAGTTTTGAACCATGTGAACATATTATGGATTCAAAAAATTAAAAAATTGTTTCCTCTATCACTCCAGTAATTTATCACATAATCCATAACCACTTTCACTCCTCTAGTTACACCCTGAGAAAGTTTTAATTTAAACAAATGTGAATGTTGGTTAATAAAAAGTACACTATAGCATGTAAATGATATCTTAATAAAGCTGATTTAAAAATACAGTTGAGGTTAATTTCAGTCCCATGGAGCTTTCCATGCCTTGCTACTCATCCTCAACAGACTAGATAAAAGCTGTTGACTAAAG